AAAAAAAGAGGCCTTCTTACTGACCTGCGCTCCATCCATAGAGAGTGACGGGTTGCAGAGAAAAATCGGAGGCAATCATTGGGCCCCTGTTGTAACCCACCCGGATGGGTTGAATGCGTTCCGTGAGCTGAACCGGATGCGGAAACACGACCAGAAAGGCGCCGTCATCAGCTGCTCGTTTCGGGATCGCATCTCCGAGGAATGTCATCTCTCTGAACTTCAGAAAATCACAGGATAACATTCGGAACGATTATTACCTTCCAGTATATTGTCAATGGAAAAAGAAAACTCAAATCATGGAGGTATTAGCGAGAGGGGAAAAAAGGGCTGAAACCGCGAGGATATTTTTGGTCCGTGGGATTTTCATGTCAACTGTTTTTATTTCTGGGTTTTTTGAGTAAATGGTTCAGGATCTAATAAGATATATCATTCTTTTTCTGTGATACTTTGGTGCTTAATATCTGGATTTTCTTATAAATTTATTTTTGCGTGAATTGGTCCAAATTCGAAAGCATCTTTTAATGGTTTTTTCCGAGCAGCGCACGGGATTTTGAAGTTATTTTCGAAAAAGCCACCGAATATTTCAAGACCTGAGCGTTCGAAAGTAATTTAAATTGGACTGGAATGGAAGTTCGATGAAGGCAATGTTTTTGCTTCCGCTTCTGTGATTTCTATTCAACTTTTTCGCTAACTTTGGAGCAGTTACATTCATATTTTCGAATCGGAGAAATACAATGAGAAGCGATTTTTTTTTTTAGAATTTAATTTTCACATTTTTGATCACGAAGAAGGATGGTCCCAAACCTCTACTTCTCCGGGCTCCTGTACATTTTGATCCAGATCCCCGAGGATTGCTCGAAATGTACGCTTTGTTTTCGGTGGAACCACGGAAATTCTTCGCATCTCGTTCATGCTCCCGGGGGCCAAGGCTACTTTCGGTGAGATTAGGATCCCATTGTAGATATATGAAGGATCATCTTCAGATTGAAATCTGACCAAAAATGGCACCTCCTCTCTGTTTTCAACTAGCTCCACTCGAGCGTGGATTGGCGAACGATTCATTGCTGCAAAAAAAAAGTGGAAAAGCGAGAAAAAGGTTTCTGCTCATCCTTGAAAACAAGTGGCATTTTCTGGATTTCTTTCTTGAATGCGTGATACAGTGAGTGAACAAAACAAATGCCTCGAAGAGGAACTGAAGTGCGTGATGAACAGCTCATTTCAAAAAAGATGTCGTGGATGAACGCAGCAGACATTGTAAAAGTTCTTTCAAAATACTGCACTGTAGTATTATTGGAGTACAGGAGTAAACAGCAGAACTGTAAGCAGAAAAAATGAAGTATCCTTGCCATGATTAAGCATCACGTGTATTTGTCTCACTTCTCGGTCTCAAATTCAGTGCCATAAAATCAAGCAGCCTGTAATTTAACGTGGCAAATTTTACTCGAGGAGCAAGCTGTTCCCTCTGACTGACGGGCGCTTAGAATTTTTAAAAAATTTTGAGTCATTGATCAACTTTTGTGATGTCCGTTTTAATATGTTCCATTGCTATATAAAAATCTTAAATACAGCAGTATTCTAGCATCATTCCTACGCCTAGATATTCGATTATTCTGGAACGAGCGCCCGATCTTTCCTTCGAGAAGATGAGTTTTAAGCCGATTCGAGCATTTTCCGAGATTTAATGCATCATCCAAAATTTGACACTTTGTCTGTACTTTGAAGGGTCTCATGGACACTTGCTCCTTCAAAGGTCTGAACGATCTCTGTTTGAACAAATGGGTTCACCATTGGTAACACTGCTTTCTTAATTTGAAATTTACGGGGACGAAAAAATCGACAAGATTATGTTTCAAACGGCAAAATATTTTTCGTGTGGCGGTGACCATCAGTGACAAATTAATCGCGAACGGAATGATGATCATGCAGAACTTAATTCGAACTGAAAATGTTTCGGCGATTATTGATTTATGGCAAAAAAAAGGGTCCGCTTCTTCTCGATCTAGATAGAATTTTCAAGTGGTGCTTCCCAAGTAGAAAAATTACAGCAATTATAATCTGATAATAGATTTCTGAAAGAATTTTTTGAATATTTAGCATTCCAGGGAAAATCGGATCATTATAGGCTTCATGGTTATTATGGGTCAGTACTCACCTGTATCGACCAGTGAACTGCTGCAGATGATGATCCGCGCTGAAAACATCATTAGGATTGTAAACCACATTTTTCTCAATGTAAAAATTTTCTACTGAAAATGCATACGGTGGGATAAAAACTTTTTTTCAATTTCGAAAGACTAGAACATAAATTTTAGAAATTCCCATTGTTGCATATACGATGCAACGCATTCAATATCACGTCGGCGGGAAACGATGGTAGCGAAGCGGGAAACCTCCTTTATATCTTTCATATTCTCTCGTTTTTTTTCACTGTATGTCACATTTTATGACGTTTCGCAGCGATCGAGTTTCGCCTTGTTTTCACTTTGAAAATGTGTTGACTGCGGTTTCAATTCTTGTGTATCAGGGGTGAGGTGCGTTTCAAGCGGAATGTGTTATTCGAGCACCGGTAGAGAGAATGCGTTTCTGCTCATGCGTCACGAGTCGTCAAGAGAAACAATTGTAAAAAAAAAGTTTTACATTCCAGTATACGTGATATAAGAAAAAAGCATTGTTTTCTTGAAATTTTTTAAATCTCGGTACAGAGGGATAAAGATTTTGATTATTGTTGACAACTACTGTATAAAAGAAAAGCATGTGATACGACGTACGTGGAAGCGTAAAAGGCCTCATTTGAGAAATACTGTATATCGGGCAAAAAATAATGTTGCTTTCAGCGATTAGAATTTTAGGAATGACGGCCGATTGAATCAATGCCACTGAATTTGTCTCCGATTATTGACTGAATTCAGGAAATTCCGTTGTAATTATTCTATTTTTGCTTTTTTTCATTTCAGGAGTGGGCTTTACGAATCCAGCCGGTGGAAATCAATGACACGGGAACTTACCAATGCCAAGTTCCAACGGACCCACCGACCTACTCATTTGTAGACCTCAAAGTTATCAGTAAGTATCTCCCTTCAAAATCCCCTCCGCCTGAATTAATAACACTATCTTTGTAAAGCATCGAAGATTTTGACTTCGTGCGGAAATTCAAAAACCTTCCGAACGATGAGAACACAAAAAAAAAACTCGAGAGCGATGTTTCCAATTTTCGCAGCTGCGGCGAAAGAAAAATCCATCTCGATTACGAAAGTGCACGTTGTTTTATGAATAAAATGTAGAGGATTTTATAAATAAAGTTTTATGAATACTATTTCTATGCTCCAAACAACGTACCAGCCTTCCCAACCACAATGTTTGCTTCGGACGACATGAATCGAAAAATAAATGAGGCAATCGCAATTTTTCTATGGTCACGGCAATTTTCACGATACATTTTTTTAGTTTTGCGCGGTTAGCTTGCTGGGAAGGGCAGAAGGAAACAGACTGATTTGGAGTGATACAGAATAGTTCAAGACGATTTCCTTCGCATTCATTTCATCCTCTTCATTTTTGGTTTTTTCAGGAGCCGTGTCGGAAATCTCTGGGAAAGAAATCCACGTGAACTCCGGCTCTGTGCTCAACTTGCGCTGCATCGTGCGGAACCTCATCCGCAAACCCTCGTTCATCTTCTGGTACCACACCCCAAAGGGTGACGCCACCGGAGCTCAACCTCAACCAGTGCTCATGAACTACATGACCCGTGTCAAGATGAGCATCGTGGACGGAGAAATGGATCCCATGAATCAAAACGGGACCAGTAACGGCCCCAGCAGCACTGGCACCAACACCAGTACCAACACCAATAGCAACGGCATCAACCATCAGAGCATGAACAACAATAACAACAACAGGGACGCCAACAAAAACTCGCTCAGCGAAGGCGTCGCACGAGTGGACTTCAAGGCGAGTCGTGCGAGGAAGCACAAAGAATACGTGGGAGAAGTCGTCACTGGGCTCCTCACTATCCGTGGCGTGACTCCGAGTGACAGTGGGATTTTCACTTGTGCTCCAGAACACGCCACTTCTGCGATGATTGCTGTTCACGTCCTCAGTGAAGGCAAGAATCAATTAATAATTCTCCTGTTTGATGCACTCTTTTTTTCTTCTTTTTGCGATTTCCCAACAAACTTTCTGATGAAAGCGGTGAACATCCGTTATACTGTACCATCCTTCAGATCTCCCGTATACAGTTAAACATATACTGTATGTGTAACGTTAAATTTCGTTACGACGAATTCGTAACAACTTCGGAAAACATTTTCCATATGGAAATTGGCAAGTTTGTTTTAGAAAGATTGTTTTAACGTGCATTCTGAAGACTTTCTGCGAGGATTGAAAAGTGTTAAACTGAAAATGTTCTGATGAGCATTATTTGTTTTAACAAGATTTTTATTGTCGAATAAAATCGGTGGAAAACAAGGGAGGGACTTCGATCAGCCCGACACTTGAATTGCACGTTTAAATTGTGGAGAAAATTTTTTATATTTTCATCTACACTATTCCCTTTTAAAAAAGGGTTTATCCGAACTGCCTTCTTTACTCTAACAGATTTCAAATCAAATTAATAAATTTATTTGATTCTCTGGAGTGCTGAGACCACTCGAGAGCTAGTTGATCAAAAAAACTTTTCGGGGGCATATATATCCCATGAAAGTTGATCTTAATTCATAAAAGTTGATGCGTAAAATGTCATAAAGCTTCACTTAAATTAGATTAGGTCTGATGTAATTGTTGTTTCAAGAGGTAAAAAAACTTTTCGGGGGCATATATATCCCATGAAAGTTGATCTTAATTCATAAAAGTTGATGCGTAAAATGTCATAAAGCTTCACTTAAATTAGATTAGGTCTGATGTAATTGTTGTTTCAAGAGGCATCACATCTTGAAATTTGGATTTTATTTACTCTTACACAGAGAGACGGAGAATGAATGCGTTTCGATTTAATATTTGCGTATTGAGGCTTCGGGTGGCAGCTAGCTTGCGTTTCTCTTCAGTGATGGGGACTCAGCGAAGAGAAGTACAGAACTTAATTTAGAGAACCATGATTTAGAGAAATGCTTCAGGAATACTACCGTATTTAAGATATATCCTTATGTAAAACTATGTTCATTTCACTTCGCATGGTTCGTGTTTTTAATGTGGCAAAACTTGGCGTTATTGCAGGAGTGCACGAGGCTGCAATTCAACAGGGGTCAGCATCCTCGTCTCCTCCGCCGACGCTTCCCTTGTTCCTGGCAGCTTTCTCGCTCCTGTTCCTCGTCAAGGCAGCTTCCCAGACCGCAGTGAAACCCCAGGCCGGGGTCTCGACACAAATCTACGTCCAAAGATGAACCCACGGAGGAACAGCAGACTCTTGCAGAAAAGAAAAACAAATTCTTTAAGAAGAAAGCGAGCGCAAAAGACATCTTCCGGCAAAAAAAAAGAAACCGTCGCAAATAGCGTAATACCGGGAATACGTGGGGCGTTTGCTTCGCGTCATCGTGGAAGCAAAAATGCTGGCAACAGGAAGAAAATAAAAAGGAAGTGCGTTGTTCGCGTCGATGCCCGGACGAACTTTGAATGGATCCGTTGCTGCTGTCAAGTGATGCGTGTTTTTTTTTTCGTGCTTTTTTTTTTTGTGTGCGACGTGATATACCAACGATGGCCGCTGCTGGGGATCCTATTTTCCGAAATATCCAGGACTCCGCTTTCTTCGGGTACCGGCGTTTAGAAAAGTGCATGAACTGCACGCGTGTACATCACTGGAGAAGAAAGATGGACTCCTGCGGAAGAAAATTGCTACCCGGAGGTTTTTTTTTTTTTTTTAACCTCTCGTCGCTGCCTCTGACCTGAAGGCGTCGGGAAACGATTTTTGCTCTCCTCCAGTCCTTCGAAAGGAGGACATATTGCGGTCCATCATTTCCCCAAGCATGATCGGAATGTGCTATTGGTATTTTTCTATGAATGCCTTACGAACCTTGAAAGCAGAGATAATCTCGACAGGAGATTTTTTTGACGATTTTCTCGCGGAAAAATTAGTCATTTCTCTGTGGATGGGAAATGAAGCATGATCGCTGTAGGCGTGAGAGTGCCGTCGTCGGAGCTGATTGAAAGAGAAACTGGCTTTCCATTCCATCGTGATCCAAGAGTGCAGTTTGAACGAAGAAAAGAAGAGAGAAATTACCATTATGTGGCTCTTGAAAAAGAGGTTATCCATTGAGATTAAAAAAAAAGTAACTTTCGCGAAAGCAAAAGGGATGTGACGATGAAAAAGTAAGTAGAAGAAGAAAACACTGTGAAGTGGAACTGGAAAAGAGAAATTTTGGAGTTCAAGTTTCCCCGATTGATTTTTTTTCCTTTTGTTGATGAATCATACAGCATTATTGTCATGTGTGCATATTCAGAATGAGGTATCTCCTGGATGTCCTTCGGATTTAGCGAAAACCGCAGCAGATTGGAAAATACAATGATGTTGAAATTCCCTGTTCAGTTTATCTATTATTTTTCTGGACCTTAGGCACATTATCAAAACGAAAGAAAACAGCTCTATTTGAGTACTTTTTTGCATGTTACCTCACGCTTATAGACATATCAGCGAGTGCATAGCATGAATCCTAAATCTTAGTCGATTATTCTGTGTGAAAGCAGGGTGAAAGAAAAGAACATTTTTCCGTCCGTCGACCATCTTTATTCTAATCCCGCGTATTTCGAATAATGCGTTTGCTCAAAAACCTGCGAGTAATCACACAAGAAAATCTTATAATAGTTTGTTTTTTAATTCGAAAATCCTGCTGCTCATTTATTTCGATGACACATACGAAAAAGACGACGCGCGTCTAATTAAGAGTTTTTTTATGTGATCTACTCTACTGCATAAATCTGCATAATGATTAAAAGCAACTCAAATATTTACAGCAATAGCGACGACACATCATCTAAACCATAATTTCATGGAATACGAGAAAATTTACTTTGAAAAATCTTGAGAAAAAAAAACGGTATTTCTTTTGTTGATGCCAACGAACGAAACTTTCAATACCACGCTCAATTGTGTTGTGTTCAGAGGTCAGAGGAGCAAATCGTAAGCCATTTCTCTGTATTAAGTTCATGTTGTTCTTCTTTGTTTCAAGCCGACAAACAGCAACAAAAAAGAGACAAGAACAACCCGGGTTCGTGAATCTGAGCACCCGACGAACTCTCTCCGCGTTTGAAATCAAGCGTTGGACG